AGCACCAGGAGTCTAGAGCCAGGAGTCTAGTGCCAGGAGTCTAGAACCAGGAGTCTAGTACCAGGAGTCTAGAGCCAGGAGTCTAGTACCAGGAGTCTAGTACCAGGAGTCTAGCACCAGGAGTCTAGCACCAGGAGTCTAGTACCAGGAGTCTAGCACCAGGAGTCTAGCACCAGGAGTCTAGAACCAGGAGTCTAGTACCAGGAGTCAAGTACCAGGAGTCTAGAGCCAGGAGTCTGGTACCAGGAGTCTGGCACCAGGAGTCTAGAACCAGGAGTCTAGTACCAGGAGTCTAGAACCAGGAGTCTAGCACCAGGAGTCTGGAACCAGGAGTCTAGAACCAGGAGTCTAGCGCCAGGAGTCTAGCACCAGGAGTCTAGCACCAGGAGTCTAGAACCAGGAGTCTAGAGCCAGGAGTCAAGTACCAGGAGTCTAGTACCAGGAGTCTAGTACCAGGAGTCTAGCACCAGGAGTCTAGCACCAGGAGTCTAGCACCAGGAGTCTAGCACCAGGAGTCTAGCACCAGGAGTCTAGAGCCAGGAGTCTAGTACCAGGAGCCTAGAACCAGGAGTCTAGTACCAGGAGTCTAGAACCAGGAGTCTAGAACCAGGAGTCTAGAACCAGGAGTCTAGTATCAGGAGTCTAGACCAGGAGCCTAGCACCAGGAGTCTAGAGCCAGGAGTCTATAACCAGGAGTCTAGCACCAGGAGCCTAGCACCAGGAGTCTAGAACCAGGAGTGGGTAAACCTACCAGGAGCAGTGGGCAGCTATTGCACAGCGCCCACTGCTCCTGGATATTATTATTATTATCAAAAGCATTGTAATCATTGTTGTTGTTGTTGTTGTTGTTGTTGTTGTGAACCAGCAGCAAAGGAGTATTAAATAGTGATATCTTGAATATCTTGTTTCCTCACGTTTGCACCCCGAGGCGCTGAATCCGAAGGAGTTCTCCTCGCAGCGCTCACAGTGGCCTCCGGTGACTCCGGGCTGACACTCGCACTGACCCGACGTGATGTCACACTGACCGTTAGTGGAGCCAATCGGATTACAGTTACACCTGAGGACCAGAGGGGGAGGAGCCAATCAGAACACAGCACACAGAACACGTGACCAAGGATACAAAAATAAATAAAACACTATTTTATAAAAAAAAATGAAATAAATAAGAATCTATTTATTTATATAAAATAATATACAATAAATATATAAAAATAATCCCACAGAACGGACCTCTCTCAGCCGCCTCCGCCCAAACCAAATAAGAGAAATAGACTTATGATATGTTGTGATTAAGATGAAGAGTGCCTGTGATTTAATGTGATGAAGAGTCTCTGTGATGAAGATGAAGAGTGTTTTGATGAAGAGGAGTAGTGTGTGCGATATAATGTGATGAAGAGGAGTAGTGATGAAGAGGAGTAGTGATGAAGAGGAACAGTGATGAAGAGGAGCAGTGATAAAGGTGAGCAGTGATAAAGAGGAGCAGTGATGAAGGTGAGCAGTGATGAAGAGGAAGATGAAGGTGAGTCCGACCTGTCGCAGCCGTCCCCGCTCTGCAGGTTGTAGAATCCGGGCTGGCAGGCGCTGCAGTCTCTCTCCTCGACGTTGGAGAGGCACAGGCACTGCCCCGTCACCTGGGAGCAGCTCACCTGACTACCCAGAGTGCCGAGCGGCGAGCAGGAGCAGGCTGCGGACAGGAAGCAGGAAGCAGGTGAGTTACAGACACACCTGAGGTCTCATGTTTCCTGCATTTCATTCATTTAACAACACATTTAATGACTGTTGATAATAGCAAGACAAAACAATGAAGTGGGCTCTGAAGACTTCTCCAGAGCGGATGTTAGGAACAGCTAAACTAGAAGCAGCGCTGGGAACGCCTCCATGGGCATTGCACTGCTTTGAGCACCAGCACAGCGCTTCTGTTGTTCCGATCTCCTGTGTGAATCTAATGCACCCCATTGGCCAAGTCGACCTTCAACCACTAGTCATCACATTAGCATTCACCCGTTGTTAAACCTGTTCTCAGCGCCGTGTTCCTCTCTGTCCTCATCTGAAGCTGGATAAACACGTTCTTCTTCTACCTTAAAACACGGATCACAGCCACGAGAGGCGTTCTACCGCCACCTGCTAAGCGGACTCGCCTATTTCACGTACAAAAGGTATTGGACTTCGCAGAATATAAAATAATGTTACTGGTAAAAATAAAACAGACGCACTTATTAATTCTGCCCCAGATTACATGTAATACCTCCCCTCCTGAAATTCCAGACCTCTCAAGGCTTCTCAAGGCTTCTCAAGGCTTCTCAAGGCTTCTTAAGGCCGCGCGGGGACCCTGTGAATGCGTATTCCTCCTATCTTTTATACTGTTTAATAAAGTTCTCCTCTCACCTTTGCACTTGTCCCCCACGGCGGTGGCGAGGGCGTTCCCGTAGAAGCCGTCTCTGCAGCGGTCACAGAAGAAGCCGTCCGTGTTGTAGATGCACTTCAGACACTCGCCGGTCTCTCGCTCGCAGTTCCCCACCGCGTTGGGGTCGATGTTTTCGCTGCACTTACAGGCTCGGCAGGCTCTAACCGGGCCGCTCTGACCCAGCGGGTCGCCGAAGAACCCGTCGTCACACAGCTCGCAGCGCTTACCTGGGGGGGTAATGATACAGGACAATACATATCATTACATTTGTCAAAGGGAATTATTGAGTTTGATTTTTTTTAAATCAATTTTTTATTTAGCTTGTGTTTCGCACTTTGTCTCCTCAACTTTGTCTTAAATCTTACATTTTAAATATTTCAGTTGCTACAAAAGGATAAAAAATCGCAAGTAATGATTCAAAAGGAATGCAAGTTAATCAAAAAGATTTAAAATATACAAATGACAGAAAAATAATGAAAAATGTCTAAAAATTGATTCAAAGTAACTCAAAATAGAATGATGTCTGTCTGTGCGTGCGTGCGTGGTCCCTGCAGGGCAGTTGGTGCACACCACCTCTGTGTGTGTGTGAGAGAGAGAGAGAGAGAGAGAGAGAGAGAGAGAGAGAGAGAGAGAGAGAGAGG